TTTCGTGGGTCGGGTCTTGGGTTTAGCAAAACCCGGCCCAGAACCGACCCGTTGCCATCCCTAGGTGAGATAGTGGAGAGAAATAAGGGATTGCCATTTTAATTTTTTTTTAATGATTCTCCATAATAATATAATATGGTAACTTTGACTAATAGTAAATAGGGGTATTTTGGATAATTTGAGTCAATTGGATTTATAACAAATATCAATTAAAAAAATAGATTTATTAAGAAGTCAAAATTGTATGGAGGGGTTTTGTCAAATAGCCCCCAATATAAAGTGATAATAAATATAAGTATTTAAATAATGTTAAATATAATATTAAATGCGACATTCATTATTATTAAATAATGTTAAAATAAATTATTAACAAATTAACGTAATAATTTTTAAAAAATATAAGGAATTGCGGTTCACCATCCCCAAACATCTATTAGTAATTATATAATATTAATAAACTCCACTATTAAAAAATATAAATAATACTCAATTAAATTGATAGTATTACAAATCCGAATAAAAAATAAAATAAGATGTTTATTTAGAAAAAAATAGATTATAACTCATTGCAACTAGTTTTCTTACACTTTAAAATAAAACTATATACTCAAAATATTGTATTGTGATTTTTCATTTAATATTTAGTTTAATCAAATAGTAAGATTTGAATTGATTAAGCTCAAATCCTTTCGGTTAGTAAAAGTTAATCAAAGATTTAAATCAATTAAGGTTAATAATTGACAAGAACGTGTTAATTGAATTAACTGTTTATAATTAAAAGTCTAATATATTTTTAATTCAATTTTATCATAAAAATAATATTTAAGTCTAAGAACTAGATAGTAAGATTTGAATCGATTAAGCTTAAGTCCGTTCAATTTGTAAATATTTTTCAAAGATTTGAATCGATTAAGTTCAACCATTGACAAGAACGTATTAATTGAGTTAACTATTTATAATTAAAGTCTAATATCCTTTTAATTCAATTTTAACAAAATACAAACATATATTTAATTCGTAAAAATTGTAAGAATCAAATCGTAAATCGTAAGATTTAATCTAACCATAATATTTGAATCGACTAAATCTTACGATTTTTACAAATTCAATTTTATTATTTTTTTTGATAAAATTCAATAAATAAATAAAAGATACTAAACTTTAACTATACATATATAGTTACTTCGATTAATACGTTAGTGCAAATTGTTGAGTTTAACCGATTCAACTATTTGAATATTGTCTACGAATTGAAATGGCTTGAGCTTAATCGTTTCAAATATTTGAATATTGTTTTTGAATTGAAAACACATGAGCTTAATTGATTCAAATCTTACGATTACGATTCAATTTAAACTTCAAATTCTTTCGAAATTCATTTTTAAATTACATGAGTTGATCCGCATTGCCTTCGATTTTTAAAATTTATTATTTATAGATTTGTTAATATTGGATATTTTTAATATATAATAATAATTAGATGAGAATTGGTAATTTATTTAACATTATTTATATAAATTTTATTATCATTATACATTGTAGCTTTGTGATATATATACTTATTGTTAGGTAAATTTGAATAATGTGTTGTATCCCAAGTATTCTTGTATGCTTGAAGGGGGTTACAAGTCCAAATGCTATAGGATCCATTTTTGGACTGGTGGTTTAATGATTCCTACGAATAATGATATAATTGACTTTACAAATTCCGCAATAAATAGATTTAAAATTTATAAAAATACAAAAGGTACAAAAGACATTTCGCATACTATTTATTATTTATGTTTTTAAATATTAAATATTTGTAATAAGGGTGTTTTAGACAATATACAAATTATTAAAAATTCAATTGTGTTGCTGGAATCTCACCCTATACTTAGACACGGCCATGGGCCGGTTCGGGCCGGTTCACGGTTCACTTTTTCCGGAACCGGAACCGGCCCGTAATATGTACGGTTCGGCGGGCCGGGTCGACCCGCCGGTTCACTCCGGTTTCGGGCCTATCCGGGCCGGTTCCGGGTCAGCCCGGAAAATTTGAATTTTTTTTTTTTTTTAAATACTTGATGAATAAATAAATTAAAAGAAGTATTTTTAAATAGAAAAAGGAAAAGGAAATAAATGAAAAGACTTGAACTTAATTTGATATTGAACTTTACTAAACTTTGATAATAAAGAAGTAGAGAGAATTGTGAGTGAATTGGTGAGAAATTGGGTGGGGGGTGAGGGTATTTATAGGAAAATTGGGGGGGGGGGAACCAAAAAAACAAAACAAATAACGGCCGGTTCACTAGCCGTTACTTGGTTTTTTTTTTAATTTTTTTTTTAAAAGAAAAAAAATCCGGGTGAACCGCCGGGCCGGCCCAGCGGTTCACGGTTCACCAATTCATAGAACCGGGCCCGTCTGCAGACGACGGGCCGGTTCACCGGTCAACGGTTCGGGCCGGTTCGTCAACGGGCCGGTTGGGGCCGGTTCCGGGCCCAAAACCGGCCCATGGCCGTGTCTACCTATACTTACCCTAAACATAACTCTAATAAATAAATCAATCAAAATAAAAATATTGGAAATATAAACACTTATAATTTGCGTCCCCTTCCCTATTCGAATACTCTGGGGAAATCGACGTGAAGATGATATTTTGGTAATTGGGGTTTTTGTGCATAGGTCCCTAACCAAACATTTTTATTATTCTAGGTTTATGGGCTATATCTCTTTCACCAATAAGCCCATCCCTTTAATATTTATTATAAATAAAGGAAACATTCATGTATATGACAGTATTACCCTCAACTTTTTATACCCAATTCTTAAGTGTATCCTCAATTTAATCAATTTTGACCACAAAAATCCAATTTTGACTTTTTGTTTTCAAAAACTTTTTTTTTCAATAAATTTTTTTTGCCGCCCGATTCCGGCCTTGACTTTTCGATTTTTTTTTTATCTGGTCTGTTTTTTTCCGCCGCCGGATTCCTGCGTTGACTTTTTTTTTTTTTTTTTTTTTTTTTTTTTTTTACGTCCACCGCTAAACGTTGACCGTAATTGTGTTGTCACTGACAGTAAATTAACGTAATATTATTATTATTTTTTTATTGTTATTTTTTTTAATTTTGTTTGATTTGTTGACAAGTTAACGTAATTATATTACTGTCGTTGACAGTAAAATAACTGTAAACAATATAATATTACTGTCAACCACATCAATATTATTATTTTTTTGGGTTTTTTGTTTTGTTTGAGTTATTCACGGAGTAACGTAATAATATTACTGTCTATATTGTAATATTATTGTAAGCACAATAATATTACTGTGGTTGACGGTAATATTACTATTATAGTAATATTGTTGTCAACCACATCAGTATTATATTTTGTTCGGGTTTTTTTGTTTGTTTGAGTTATTCACGGAGTAACGTGATAATATTACTGTCTATTATTGTAATATTGTTATAGTAATATTACTGTCACACACATGTAATATTATTGTAGTATTATTGTGGTTGACGGTAATATTATTGTTGTTATAGTTATATTACTGTACAATAATATTATTTTTTTTGGCTTTTTATTATGTTTACATTTGTTGAACGGTCAACATAGTAATATTACTCTATTACACAATAATAATGAGTTTTGTTGTGTTAATATTACTGTACTAGAGATTTATATAGCAATATTACTGTGTTAAACTGATTTTACTGTGTTTAACAGTAATATAGTTAATATTATTGTCAATCACAACAATATTGCTGTTTAAACGAAAAAAAAAAGATGTTACAGAAAGAGAGAAAGAAAGAAAGAAAAAAAAATCGAAAAAGTCAAAGTCGGAATCCGGCGGCGAAAAAAAAAAAAGTCAACGCCGGAAACCGGCGAAAAAATCCGGAAGAAAAAAAAATGTCAACGGCTGTGACGGACGAATTTGTCCATAAAAATGTGTTTTGGGTCAAAATTGAATAATTTTGGGTCAAATTGAGGTTAAATTAAATTAAATGATGAAATTGGAGCATATTAAAGTATGATGTGCTATTTTAATCTTTTACAAAAGTCTGGACCATGTGTGGACTTATTTGTAATTATGTTTATTGTCTGGATCTCTTTATGAATAAGTACCCATTGATGGGCTTATTTGTAAAGACCCCTTGGTAATTCAATGGTAGGAATTTCTCCCAAGCGAGGTTTGAAATATGAATGTTAAACGTGGGTTATTTTTGTAATGTAAATATTGAAGGACTGTCACCAAATTGAGAAAATATGGGTGTCCTCATCTAATACAAAATTAGGTTTCAATAGAGTGAGATAATTAGTAGATAAAGGATGACCATTACATTTTAGTCTTTACACCTTCATGTCAAAGCTATTTTATCTTCTTTGTTTTCACAGCAAATGGCAAATATGCTTATGACAAGGAACTTAAATGCACATAGTTCCAAACAAAAAGTAGCATCGCAAATAAACTCATTCCCATGTCTTTTGTGTAAAATACATTTTATAATATAATTTCCATCAATTTTATCTATTATACTCTAATTTCATCAATATTGCACATTGACCCCGGATTTGAACAAATGTATCACATTAACCCACATTTTCATAATTTTTTGAAAAAATATTTTTTCTTAAAGAATTTTTTTTTTCTCAATTTTTTTTTTCCGGCCAGATTCCGGCATTGACCGCGGTTCTCCGTCATTGACTTTCTTTTTTTTTTGAAAACTTTATTTTTCTGAATTTTTTTTCCAGCCGGTCTCTGGCGTTGACTTTTTTTTTTGTTGAAATGTCTTTCTCTTTAAATTACTATGTTAACAACAAAATTATTGTTTGAGACAGCAATATTGAATGCCCAAACAGTAATATTACTAATACAAGTAATTTGACTCAAACAATGCACGAGAATTTACAAAAAAGGTTAGGCATATTACATTTCAAGTTATTCAGTACTCCCGTCGAAAACCGTGTGTTATTTTATACCGCCCCTAGATCTCTGTTTTGTTAAATGAAGAATTCTTAATTGACTATCACAAAAGGGACTATAATGATAGATAAATGATTATGAGATTGATGGAGTTTTAAGAATATATATATATATATAAGGGTTTGTTTGAGCCATTTTGCACTATATATTTTTTACCATTTTCAGTTAATTTTGCTTGGGAAATTTTGGTATTTATATTTTTTTTCTCCAAAACATCTAATTGCTTAGATTTTTTAAATTTTCTGAATAAAACCTTTTATTTTTGTCATTTTGAGTTTCTTCATTTTTTTTTTCTTAAATGTCTTCCGGTAGTTCAAACATTCTAAGATTACAAACATCTTTACAATCCTATGATTGTTGAGAATTTGAACTATCGAAAGACATTTAAGAGAAAAAAAAATGAAGAAACTCAAAATGACAAAAATAAAAGGTTATATTCAGAAAAAAAATATATAAGTAATTATATGTTTTGTAGAAAAAAAAAATACCAAAATTTCCCAAGTAAAATTGACCGAAAATGTTTAAAAAAATAGTGGAAAAATGGCTCAAACAAACCCTTATATTTATAGGCTTTAGCAGGGGTATTTTCGTCCGATTTTGGAAAAAATGTAACTGTAAGGGAGTTTTTGTATTTATGTGTAGTACATGGGTTATTTGATACAAAGTCCATAGTACATGGGTGTTTTTGTATTTAACCCTTTTTTATTGACTACTTTTTAAAGTAGCTTCTTTTTTGTAACTTTTAAACCAATTCCACCTTCTTCATTTAAAATATAATTTTTAATATTTAAATATTTTATATTTATATATTTATTAAAAGGGTTTAACCAAAATGAAACACATCAAAAAATTAATAAAATAGATGCAACACACATGCATCTTCCTAGTATCAATAAATTTATAAACTAATGTTTTTGGGGAAAAACTAAAAAAGATTGGAATTTATATTATTGTATCTATCGCAATTATCAAGTATCAATTTATTATAAGAAAATTCTTCCCAACACCATCATAAAACCATCGACAGTACAATAGTACAATATGATATGGACAACGTTACTGCAATAGCAAACATTGATGAAACATATTTACATGGACAATGTTACTCTGTCCATGAAATTATCTATGAAATATCTGATACAAGGAAACGTGTAAAAGAAAGAGAAAAAAAAAACACAAGTTTATGTATCAACCAGCTAAGAAAGCATCAACCCTTGCATTAGCCTTTCCGGAAAGAAACTTCATGCAAATGGGTGGATTCACACCAAGCAAAGCTAATATAGAACTAGGCAACGTCCATATCCCATCTCCGCATATCAATCCCGAAGCTACCGCAGGTCCAAACGCATCCGCCTTCGCCTTGTCAATCTTCTCCCACACAAATAGTATCAAACTCCCAACACACATATCAATAGTAAAATACCCTCCAATATAGAAAGGGATCGCCATCGCCATCGGAAGAGGAATAAATCTCGACCACTTCTTCCCAACCGCATCTCTAATCCCGTTTATAGCAACGGCCCCGATAAAGAACACGTAGCAAAGCGTCAGACAATTCTTCGGCAAAGCAGAAACCCCCTCCACCCCCAAAATTGCCATATTCCGGTACACGCTAGCATACGGTGCGGGATACTTCGAGCCCTCTATCCCTATATCATGGAATGCTTTGTATAATAGCCAAAACACGCACGGCGAAATAACGCAACCCATAGCGGTTCCGATTATCTGGCTAATGAACATTGACCTTGGTGAGGCTAGCGTCATGTACCCGGTCTTGAAGTCTTGTGTTAGGTCGGAGGCAGTGGAGACTATATTCATCATGACACCGCACGCCGCAAGCCCCGCGAGTACCCCGCCGTGGGACGCACCGGCCCACGCGCCGATCACGAATATGGCTAATTTCCCGTAAGTGGAAGCCAACGACCAATCGGTGAGACCGCAACCGTAAGCATTGCAGAAGGCTAGAGCGGGTGCGAATATGTATATGACTATAATGTAGTACCACTTGAGCGGTGGGAAAATGTGCGGTAGAGTTGCGGTGGAGATTGCCGCTATGGTTAAGTAGCCGGTGATTGCGATCCATGTTGGGATTTGGTCCTTGAGGAAAAGTCGGGTTCTTATTTGATCGTCGTACGATAGAGCGGGGGTATTTGAGGGAGATGTCGAGTGGTTATCTACGGGGAGAACGAGTTTCGCTTTTTTTTCTTGGAATTGGTTGTACAATCCGTACATGGTGCGGCCGAGGACTTTGATGAAGTTGTAAAGGCCGTCGCCTAGGATCATTGCTATAGCTATGAAGACTCTGTAACCTTGCAAGCTGTGGAGGCTGCTCGATTTATACTCGGCGGAGAACCAATCGCCTTTTCTGTTCCATATGAGTGGCCACATTATACCCCATGAAAGGATAGCTCCGATTAGCAACGATACGTTGATAAGGTAGGGGCATATCATGCCTACTCCCACGTACGTTGCCGAGAAATCAAAGTAAAACCTGTTTTTTTTTTCAATCATAAACAGAGAAGAAATTAGTGAGAAAATCACGTGCATGTATTTATGTGGGGAAATTGATATATGGGTTACTTATATTACCTGTTGTCGTATGCTTTAAGACCAAAAGTAGGGAAGTTGACAAATCCGCATCCGTCGCCTGAAGTGAAAAACCATTGGAAGAAACCCCACAGAAAGCTGAAGGAGAAGAATTTCCCCAATGCTCTCACTTGTTTCCTGGCAATGCGATTGTATATATATATTCCATTATGAAATACTTTTCGACATAATAATAATAAGGTATAGTGATTATTTTGTGACTTACTTTGCTAGCTTGGCTCCGCGAGGAGTATGGAAGCTATTGATTAGATGCGCAGTAGCTGTGCCACTCGGATATATCAGTTTGAAATCTATTATCATTATCTGAAGAACAATTTAAATAAGTATCGGTAAAGAAAAAAATCAGTTGCAAATATACGATGACTACGTACGCATATTGTTGTTGAGTATGAAAACGAAAAATGTACCTTACGAAGAGGGACGACAGAAAAGAGGCCTAAGAAGCTGACGACAAAGAGGAAACCGATCATCCACGAAAGCGATGGGTTCTTAATATTTTGAGAGTTGTTAGCTTCGGTTGTTTGTTTTGCAATTATTTCACTCATACCAAAAAGATTGTTAGAGTTTTGCCAAAAAAGATTCAACTTATGTTAGAGTTTTGTATATATATATATATATATATATATATATATATATATATATATATATATATATATATATATATATATATATTCATTGGGCAAATTACGGTCACCCCTAAATTATGGTCAAATTTCGAAAAACACCCCTCATATTTGGGTAATTACAGTCACCCAGTCAACTATGTATATTATCTTACGAAAATACCCCTCAAGATGTAAATTTAGGAATGTTAAATCGGTAAAACGGAACCGAAATTTCGGTACACCAACATTACATACCGTTTACCGAACTGAATATACGATTTGGTTCGGTAAGAAAACGAATTACATAAATTTTGTGTAAAAATATTTAAAAGGAGAGGGGTGGCTGTAATTACCCAAACAAGAGGGAGTTTTTCGTAATTTGGTCATACCTCAGGAGTGGCCGGAATTTGCCCTATATTCATTTATTGATATGAGGGTAGAATGTGTTGAGTTTTAATTTTATTTTTGTACTAACATACCAAATGTTTGTTCAATCAACATGTATAAGGGAAAATTATAAGTGTGTGATTGTGTTTAATTTACAGTTGAAAAACTACCCAAATAAGCATTTAATTTGACGAATTGGAGTCAATAATAGAATAGCTAACACATCAAATGATAGCGATAAATCCGGGGCATGAAATAAAGGTGGAATGTGATGGGGAAGGAATCCAATGATCCCATAAACAAATTCCAGAAATCCGGCTGCTGCCGGCCAACTTCCATCAATATTATTAAATAATCCCAAGAAGCAATCACATGACTGATGACATCAGCCAACCTAGTATAATATTTAGACAAAGAATACATGTATGTATGAAATCATAATCTTACAAGTCCAAATTTGAGAGAGTTAAAACAAACTAGACAACAATTGACTTGCAAGTTGTAAGCGGTCCCTTTGACTATGACAGCGATAAAGACAACGTATTGTATTTAATATTTAATATTTACACATTAAGAAAAGAAACAATCTTGCTTGTGATCCAAATTCTTGGTCCCACCAGAAAGGCGAGGCCACACTCAATCCATAATTTATCGCCTAAATTATTTTATATATATATATATATATATATATATATATATATATATATATATATATTTAGTCCATCTAAATTTTATTAATTAGCTAATTCAGAAGGGCATATTACAAATAAGCCCATCAGTGGGAACTTATTCATAAAGAGATCCAGACAATATTCTCCTTTACCAATAAGTCCACACATGGTCCAGATTTATGTAAAGGACTAAAATAACCCCTCTTACTTTTATATGCTCCAATTTCATCCTTAACTTACTTTAACTTCAATTTGACCCCAACTTTCACAAATTATTCAATTTTGACCCAAAACTTTTTTTTTTTCACAAATTTTTTTTTTTTCAAAAACTTTTTTTTCCCGCCGGATTCCGGCGTTGACCGGCGGTCAACGCCGGTCTCCGGCGTTGACCGGCGGTCAACGCCGGTCTCCGGCGTTGACTTTTTAATTTTTTTTTTTTTTTTTTTTTTTTTTTTTTTCCTTCCGGATTTTTTTTCCCGGATTCCGGCGTTGACCGGCGGTCAACGCCGGTTTCCGGGGTGGACTTTTTAATTTTTTTTTTTTTTTATTTTTATTTTTTTTTTTTCTTCCGGATTCCGGCGGTCAACGCCGGTTTCCGGCGTTGACTTTTTAATTTTTTTTTTTTTTTTTTTTTTTTTTTTTTCCTGTAACTTTTTTTTCCGTTTAAACAGCAATATTGCTGTGAATGACAGTAATATTAACTATATTACTGTTAAACACAGTAAAATTAACTAAACTATAGTTTAACACATTGATATTGCTATATTAATCTCTAGCACATTAATATTAACACAACAAAAATCATTATTATTGTATAATAAAGTAATATTACTATGTTGTCCGTTCAACAAATGTAAACAAAATAAAAAAAACCAAAAGAATTAATATTACTGTGAGTGACAGTAATATTACTATAGCAACAGTAATATTACAATAGTAGACAGTAATATTATTACGTTACTTCGTGAATAACTCGAACAAAACAAACACCCCAAAAAAATAATAATATTGATGTTGTTGACAGTAATATTATTGTGTTTACAGTTATTTTACTGTCAACGACAGTAATATAATTACGTTGACTTGTCAACAAATCAAAAAAAATAAAAAAAAATAATAATAAATAAAAAAATATAATATTGCATTAATTTACTGTCAACGGCAGCACAATTACATAAATGTAATGTCAACGGCAGTACAATTACGTTAATTAACTATCATTGACAGTATAATTACGCTAAATTACTGTCAGTGACAGCACAATTACGGTCAACGTGTAGCGGCGGGCGTGGAAAAACAAAACAAACCAAACAAAAAAAAAAAAAACTTAAAAAAACACTAAAGAAAGAGACCGCCGGAAACCGGCGAAAAAATCCGGAAGAAAAGAAAAGAAAAAAAAAAGAAAAAAAAAAAAAAAAAAAAAGTCAACGCCGGAGACCGGCGTTGACCGCCGGTCAATGCCGGAATCCGGAAAAAAAATCCGGAAGAAAAAAAAAAAAAAAAAAAAAAAAAAGAAGTTTAAAAAGTCAACGCCGGAATCCGGCGGCAAAAAAAAGTTTTTGAAAAAAAAAAATTTTTTGAAAAAAAAAAAATTTTGGGTCAAAATTTAATAATTTGTGAAATTTGGGGTCAAATTGAGATTAAATTAAGTTAAGGATGAAATTGGAGCATATTAAATTATACTCCAAAAAAAAGTCAAAATTGAATTTTTGTGGTCAAAATTGAACTTTTATGGACAAAATTGATTAATTTGGATTACAATTAAGAATTGGGTATAAATGATTGAGGGTAATATTGGGATATACATGAATGTTTCCTTTAGTTATAATAAATATTAAAGGGATGGGCTTATTGGTGAAAGAGATATGTCCCCTATACCTAGAATAATAAACATGCTTGGTTGGGGACTTTTGCATAAAAATCCCAATTCAGAATCCAAACTAATGCAAATATATCCTAATTTTTATTAATTAGTCCACAAAAAATCCAAATTAATGCAAAAAAGACATCTAAATTTTGTTTCTTTTCTTCTTCTATTTTCCTATTTTTTTATTTTGTCACAAAAAAAATTACTCAAAATAAATTCAAACGCTCGAAAATCTAAGCCCTCCCTATAACAAATACCTGGACTCGCCGTTGTTACACCGTACCCCACCGCAAACGCTACCTAGCATGCTTACTTTTGGAATCGTGGTTAAAAGATGATCATATTTTTGTATCCAAAAAGAAAGTGTCTTTACAGAGAAATGGTTGGCCTACTACAAAGCCTCTTTAATCCCTAGTAAATATAAAGAATTATCGAACTTTAATAGGAATTAATGTTTAAACTATAGACCTTGCAAACCCTGCTCCGTCCTGATTCAGATCAGTAACATTAATCTTGCTAATTTGCCTATATTATAACCTAGAGAGAGAGAGAGGGGTAACTGACCGCTGAAGGCGATGCCGGAGGTGGCAACAACACAGGTCTGAATAACAGTGTTCTCTTGCCTTGTAAAAGGCTGTTTCAAAAGCCCCGATTTTTCGAGAAATTTTGTCCAAGTCTTGACGAAGAAGAAACCCAAAAGACCGGCGGAAACATTGAGGGAAGGGATAATACCGGTGGTGAGATTCAGCTTCATAACTATGAATGTGAATAGAATTCCCAATACAAAGCTCACTACAAACGCCCTCACTGTCAGCTGCTTCTGCCACGTCGGCACCTCCGTACCCTCGAACGTCTTCTCTGTCGATGCACCTTTGACATCATCGTCGTCGTCGTTGTTGTTGGTGTTTACACGTTGTTCTTCGTTCCGATGGGTTTCGTCCCCGTCGGTTTTCTTGTTGATGCTCGACGACCTATCCATATCGATCCCTTGTTGGTGTTAACAGCTCTTTCTCTCTCTTCTTTTCTTTTGGTGGGGATTTTGTTATATAGATAGAGAGAGAGAGAGAGAGAGAGTTTGGGTGTTTGTAGTTTTGGAGGGGGCCTCGAAAAGGTCAACTAGAGCAGTGATGCAGTGTGCACAGAGTGCGGTGGGGGTGTGTTAAGTGTATATTTATACATTTAATTGTACCTTTTAATTGGAGCTTTTGATGTGTTTTTACGATAATTGGTGCTTAATTTGGTTATTATTTGTATTTTAGGTGCAAATTGAAGAATTGGCAACTTTTGGGGTGAAAACTGCAAATTCGGAGAAAAAGTGGGCCAAAAGTGAAAAAGCAGAATTCTGGAGTATCAAGGACCGCGCGGCCGTGCGGATTTTAGGCATAAATCTCACACGGCCGTCCGGATGGTCGTGATGGCGCAGTGAAGGAATTTTAATTACACAAGGAAACCCGCCCTATTATATTTTTGCACCCTATTTAAAGGCCACAAGCACACAATTAGGATTATCTTGGATCTTTCTACCTTTTATCTTTATTTTTAGTTTTTATCTTTCATCTTTCTACACGCAATCAAGGAGCACAAGAACGAAGACGAAGACTTGACGAATCTTCATCATAGTTCTCCTCTTTTATTGTTATTTATAGTTTTATGATTTTTCGTATTTTTATTATGTTTTTCGTAACGAACATGCGTAGCTAAGTTTTTAATCTAGGATTTTGTTGGAACCCTATGTAGGGATTGCGAACCCTTTTTCTTGAGATTATGCAATTATGATTTTATGATTATTTCTTCTACTTGTTATGATTGTTAGTGCATGAACTTGATCAATTTATGTGCTTTATCTGTGATTATTGGGGTTGACTCGACAGAGCTATTTTGATAATTAGACGGTAAGTAGAAGAGCCTTCGAGTAGTTTTCACCGGATGAGTGTGTCAATTGCATGTGGTGTCGTAGACATACAGATATCACCTTAGGTAGCCATTTACGAGACTTGTTAGTTAATGCTTTATTTATAATTGGTTTGCATAGACATATAGTGAATCGTTTATGAATAATAGACTCATAATACACGCGACAGCGGGTTATGAGTAAATTAGTGTCTCGGGTTAATAATCATGAATCATATATTTCATAATTGAAGGGATTTGGTTGAGCAATTCTTGCATAGGGGGAAGATATAATCCTAGGTCCGTTTTATATTGATATTTTCCCGTGTTATTTGCCTTCTTAATTAGTTTAGTTGTTTAATTGATTTAATTTGACAAACTTGCGTAGGCTGGATAAAAATCATAATTGTTAGAATTTGGTACTTAGGATTAGGTAATTTGCGTATTCCCTGTGGGATCGACATCCGACTCTCACGAGTCCACTTTATTACTTGTTTGCGATACGTGCACTTGCGTGTTGGTATTTAGCACCCAACAGGGTGTAAATGTGGGCTGACTTCTCAATGAATCCTTTTTTTTGGGGCAGATGATAATTGGCAGAGCAAATATGAATATATTGATTATACCAGTGCAAGTTGGCATTATTTATTCACATACACCTCAATTAAACAAATATCTAATATGTGACCATACTTATATTCAATCAATATAGTCAGTCGCAGATCTAGCTATGGTCTAAGGCAGAGGTGGTAAATGAGCTGAGCTGGCTCGTGAACTTGATGAACTGACTCGATAAAAGATCAAACTCAAGCTTGAGTATTTTGAGCTGGAGCTCGATGAATCCACTAGAGCTTGGAAAATAAAGCTAAACTAGGCATGAGCTTGAGCCTGGAAATTTTGGCTGGCTCCGATTATTCACACCCCTAGATTAGGGTGTGCAACTGCACACCTTGATTTTAAAACAAAATAAAATATTATCATATAATATATGTGATATATAAAGTAAAATGTAATAATTTAACGATAATGACTTGTCGTTCAACTAGTCGAGCTTCTAAATTTATACCAATGTGGGTATTTTTTGAACTTTTTTCTAAATTTATAAACATGAGGGTATTTTTTGGATTGCAAAAAATACAGGGGTTAGATTGATAGGGCAATTTGTTAATTAAATGCAGACATTGGTTCACAACTTTAATATATTTAAACTTCTTTAGCACTTTCACCAATTACTCTCCAAATCTTTTCAAAGTTTCTAACATTCGAAAATGATCTTTTTAACTCCGAAGCTTTTGTGTTTTTATATTTTTCATGTGTATACTATTTATAAAAAGGGGAAATGAGGGATAACCCCTAGTTTTGAAAATATATAGGGAAAGATTCTAAAGATTTTTCTTTGCTAGTCAAAAACTCAAATTCTAATCTTAATTTGATAGACCCCCTAGACAAATTGAAATACCAGTTTTGTCATTTTGGTTACAATTTAAAACCCTAAATTTCACCAACTCTCCTTAATTTCTCTCTCCCTTCTTACAGTCGTTTTCTTTTCTCTCTCCCTCCTCCCACGTTTCTCCTCTCTCTCTCAAAATTCTTGTTCTCTTCTCTCTCACCTTCCACCGTCGCTTCTCCGCTTCCCCGCCTTCTCCGCCGCTCCGCCTTCTCCGCATCTCCGCCTTCTCCGTCGCTCCGCCTTCTCCACTGCTCTGCCGCTCCGCCGTGCTCCGTGGTGCTCCGCTGCTCTGCCGTGCTCCGCACCGGCTGTTCCGCTGCTCCGCGCTGTTAGAGTAGGTGACCAACAAGCCAACTTGTGGCTGTGGTCTTTCTCTTTTTCCTTGTAATAAAACAATCGTTTTTCGTTCGTAATAATAAAATATTTCATTTGGCATTCTATATCTCTTATCCCATGCAAGCAGCATAGATATAGTCCTAACGAGTTACTCTATTACTGTGAGTTGATCTAGTAGAATCGTGAGATAACTCAGCAATGTAATGTAACTGTTAAACCTTGTTCCTAGTCGATGGGTTACGCCAATAATGAGGATACCGGCCTTTCCCTTTTGAGACTAGCACTTAGTGTATGTGTACTGCATCTCATCAGTCCTCGATGTTGTGACATCGGCATACTTGAGTGGGTGCTCATACTAGATGAGTTCACTGAACTCCCTCGCCCTAGAAATCTATAAGTGGTTCTCATTCATCGAGTAATAGGTTTCTAAGATATAGTTGTACACGATTAGTCATTAAGACCCAGACATCACCGTGACTTCACTAGAGGACCGATTGTATCGTGACCTGTCCCTGAGTCCCACAGCGGACCACTCCAAGGGCCAAAGTTCGTGCAATCCGAAATCTAGTGTGAAGTATGTGCATTGTAGTAGGGGATTCGAGCGCTTGAGTAGTCATGGATGTCCTGTGTGTTCTGACGGTTTATAATCCAAGGAATCTCTGGCCAGAGTTGATAGTGGGGTGATTAGGGAAATGTGTTTCCCTAAGTCACACACGAACGGATTTATAATACCTAGAACGTTCGCACGATTATTGAACTTTATAAGAGGTCTCGGTGAACCAATGCCTCTAGTTCAATCGGGACATGTGTTGCGAAGGGATCGTACTGTACGCTAACTATATCATAAGGTTCTTGCAGGCACTTCACTTGTATCTAGGGAATCATGATCACTACAAAAAAAAGTGTTTTATGTGACAATTTCTTGTGACGAAAAATAATTTCGTCACATTTGCATGAGAATCTTACGACGAAACTCAATTTTGTCACATAAATGAAAATTTGATGTGACGAAAGTTAATTTCGTCACATAAAGTCTATTTTATGCGACAAGAATAAAAAAACGTCACTACAAATAGTTGAGGTTGTTTTGACCATTGACATGCCCTATTTTGCGACAACATCTTGTTTTTTTCTTGACAAAATTAATTTCGTCACCAGAAAAGAGGCATCTATACATTTTATTTCAGTTCTAATATCCCCCATTTTTCAGCCTCAACGACTGTTTTCTACTTCACTCTCATTTTCTTCTATTTTCCCTTCTCTTTCCACCATCTTCCATCTTCTGTTCTCGTGTGAATCGCCACACCATCAACCTTCCGTCGCGCCTCCGCCACCACCATTCCCTTGTTTCGATTCTGGTACGGTATCTAACTTCTCTCTCTCCCCTTCTCCCCTTCTCTCCCTCTCTCTATCTTTGTCGATTTCCCTCTCCCTTCCTTCAATCGAATGATAGGGCTTTTGTTGAAAAGGTCCAAAATTAGTTTCTTCATCTCAAAATTAAATTAAACCGTTATATGATTTAATGTGAAGGTTTTTTGATGTTCGGAATTAAGTTGGGTTTTCAGGTACGGAATCGCCGCAATGTCAGCCCTCTCTCACGCCTCTGCCACCACCATGATCTTGTTCGATTTTGGTATGGTATCTAACTTCTCTTTCTCGCTCCCTCCATGTTTGTCGATTTCCCTCTCCTCTTGAATAGAATATTAGGGCTTTGTAGAAAATGGCCAAATTATAATTCTCAAAATTAAAGTAAAGGTTTATATTATTCTATGTAAAGGTTTTCTGATGTTTGGAATTCAATTATGTTTTATGAAATTGTGTATTACAAATTTATATCAATGTCGCACACTAGGTGTTCGATCATTTTACTGGACGTTGTTTCCCATTTATTTATTAATTAATTGATATTTTGTTGTTGAATTTTGGTTTATGTTGCTTAGCTAAGAACGGGTAAACTAGTAAAATATACAAGTAAATGCTGAATAGGCTAGAGAACTCTGAATTTTGACATCCTTGAAGTTTGAAACTGTGATTTAATATTTTCTTGATATTCGAGTACTTTGTGTAGTATAAGGAAAACCGTTGGGATCTGAGCAGCTGGTTGGATCTGGTGGTATGCCGTATTCTCATTCAGCCACAGTGACTGCTCTTTCAGTGGTTGTTGGTCTCCAAAACGGTTTTGGTGGATCGGCTTTTGCTATTGCCCCCACTTCACCAAATTCAAATGGAGCAACGAGTGTATCATCGACCAGTCATGTTGGATCTTCCGAGTATGTTCTTCTCCTAATTTCTTATCCGTACTCTTTTCATAATTGTGCAATTTGCTTGTTTTTAATTTGCAGAGGGATGAACCTAGTTCTGGTCCAGGTCTAGGTCGAAAAGAAATACATTGATATAATTATTTCAGGTTGTGAGGACATTGCAGATTTACA